GCAACTTGGCGAGACCTCATCTCCACAATAAATCAAAAACTAGCCAGGTGTGGTAGTGCGCGCCCGTAGTTCCAGCTAATTAGAAGGCTGAGGCGGAAGGATCGCCAGAGCCCAGCAGGTCGAGGCTGCGGTGGCTGGAAGCGGCCACTGCACTCCAGTCTGGGCGACAGAGTGAGACTCCATCTCAAAAAAAAAAAAAGGAAATTTCTTTCTTTTTTAAATTTTTTGTAGAGATAAGGTCTCGCCAAGTTGCCCAGGCTAGTCTTGAACTCGAGGGCTCAGGTAATCCACTGGCCTTGGCCTCCCAAAGTGCTGGGATTACAGGCTGAGCCACCGAGTCCAGCCTTGGCAATTTATTTCTAAGCAATTTTTGCCAGATGTCAGATTATCAGTTGCATGAATTTTATAATACTTTCAATTTTGTGGAACACAAATCAGAGATGTGAAAATCTGTCTCGTGTTACTTAGGCATCTGCTTCAGAGATACCCATGTGCTTGGGAGGCTCAGCTGCGCCTTTTCCTGAGCATGTGACTCTCTGGAGGTGCAATAACTTCTGTTTCATTATCCTTACAGAGAGGCCATCTTTTGGGAATTCAGTTTGAACAGGTTTTGTCAGATGCTGTGTAGATCTCCGTCCAAGGACCTGTGGCTCCAATGAATGCAGGCGGGAAAACTTGGTGTGCTGTTTCGTCTGCCAGGTTATAGGAAAGTGTAGCTGGCAGCAGCACAGGCCCAGGGTTCCTTGTCTGTAGCCCATAGCTAGCTGTGAACAGGCCCTTTCACTCAGCTTCCAGCTCTGGAGGCAGGGCCAGGGCCAGGCCCAGGCCATGGTGCCTGCCTCTCCAGTGTACTCCAGCTTCCTCTTGCCCCTCTGCTGGCAGTGGGCTCCTGGGGGGTTCACTGCTCTGAGTCTCAAGGGCACCTATTGTCCTGTGAACTAAATGTCAGGAGGCTGGTTTCTTTGTCCAACACAGGGACAGGGCCTCCCTGGGTTTCCAGAGCAACAGCCATTTTACCTGCCACTTATTACCTTCCCTTGGCATTTCCATGAGGGTCTGAAGGTGGTCAGGAGGGCGAGAGGTTAATCACCTGTGTTCGGGCAATACCCTGGAGTGAGAGGCCTGAAGACACTTCGGAGTTCTTCAACAGTCAGTTGCTCATCCCTGCAACGTGGTGACGCTGAGCGAGTGCCATTCTCATCAAAACAGGTGTCTCCATGCAAAGGCTGGCTCTTGCCACTCCAGCCCACTTCCTCAACCTCTCGTCTCTGTTCAGCCCTTCCTCCTGCCCAGGAGCTGCCAACTTGTTCCCTGCCACTCTGTCACAGCTCCACTGCAGGCCACTAGCTCCACCAAATGGGAATGGCTCCTCTGCCTTGACCTCTTCACAAGGTCAGACTGGGTAGTTGTTCTTCTGACCTAAAACCCATAGGGTTGGCCTCCCTGTGGGCAGTGTCTCCAACAGCTGGCCAGGGCTCTTTCTTCAGGCTGCTTGTCATGTCACCACCCCCCCATCACTGCGGCCACCTGCCACGTCTCAACCGGCCAAGCAGCTGGTGCCACAGGTCTGTCTGGGCCACATCCCTATCCCTGCGCCTGTGCTCCTTTCCATCAGCTCACACCTCTCCTCCACACGCTGGCCTGCAGTACTCTGCCATGGAGCACGTGCCAGCCTCTTCTGTCTGCTTTTTGTTACACTGGCCTTTTATGTGCATTTCTGTTCTGCTAGATGAATGTCTCCTTCCAAAAATATAACACAGTAACTGACACTGAGCCAGTAGGTGCTGCTTGGTAGAGATTCTCAAGGCACCTGCCTCGACAAATACAGTGAATTTCACTGGTACAAGAGTTTGCATATAAAAAGTTTCAGAAGTCTGAGGGGGTATGAAACACAGTTTGACATTTTCTAAACATTTCTGCTAAATTGCACAGAATAAGCTGCTAAGCAAACATATCTAAGCCTAGCCTAAATCTACGTGACCCCAAACGCCACGTTAAGAGAGCACAGCATGGCGAGAAGTTTAGCTGCCCATTACCCACCCTGCCGTCAGAGCCTCCGTTTTGAGAACGGAGAACCCCACCATGCTAATTCCAGGGGCACACATGGCTGACACCCGACTGAGCAGCCGCATACCTTTCACCAACTTGCCATCCGCGACGGTCTTGCCAGACACTGCCTCCTTCCTCCCGCCTGAGCCCGCCCGTCCTCCTGCCTCCGCCGCATCTTCAGGCACTCCATCCTCCCCAGCGTCACTGGGCTTCGTAGGAGCAGAGTCTGCAGGGGTCTCTTCTGGGGCGGACACAGCCTAGAAAGGTTCAACATCACCACAAACCATCACCTGAAAAACCGTACAGAATCTATCCAGAGAGATACATACAGCACACATTTACGTGCAGCTCATTGGACAATAGCATCTCCACATTGCTGCCATGGAGCACTAAGGGGGAGACATTCACATTCAGATGTGTCATTTTCTGACAACAGAACAAAAAGGGGAGTGGAAGGAGATTTTCCCTCTGGAAGATCCCACGTTTCTGAAGCTCTACCACACTGTCTTGTGACTCAATCTCCCATCTTCTTGGGATGCTGATTACTGAGAATACTTTCAGAATACTAAATCGTCCCCATCACCTACAGATGAGTCAATTTCCTTCCGTGTGAGCAGCTGAGATAAAGGTCTGCAGAGCCTTCTGATAAGCCAGGCCTATGTTGCCTCTACCAACACCGGCTTTAAAGATGTCAGGAAGTTCATACAACTGAGAGGAGAAGGCAGAGGGAAGGCCCACAGGACTTGGAGTGGGTCCAGCGGGCATGTGCCCCATGGGGGCATCTGGCCAGAAGGGAGCTGCACGAGGAGGGTGGGCGGAGGCACAGTCATTAAAAACCAGAGACAAGCTGGGCTTGGTGGCTCAGCCTGTAATCCCGTGCTTTTGGGAGGCTGAGGTGAGTGGATTGCCTGAGCCTGCGGGTTCGTGACCCGCCTGGGCAG